AATGGCGTGACTGATATACAAGAGATATCATCTGTTACATTATACGAATGGGTGTGAGTGTGGGTGTTAGATGTGGGTATGGGTGTGCATTCAAAAGTAAACAACATAACTGAGCGATAAATGTGTTTTTGTTTCGAAATGGAATATCAATGATCATTCTGTTTTTTTTTTAACTCCGCTGTAAGTCTTCTCTTCATTCACATCAACACATACACACCTCTTTGTATATCGAGCAGAACATAGGTTATCCACATGAGTACTGAGTGTTGATAAATCATCTGTTTGCCCACATTAATAACAAACCAACAAAATCTAGTAAAATAATTATCACAATAGTTTGTCATTATCGTTTATTTTAGCGTTTTTGAGCAACACTTTTATATCAAATAATTGGATATTTTGATAATCATTATTGTTATATGCTGTATTTATGAATGTTCTGCTTTAAGATTCATCTGTTTCTTCAAATGATTCTTTTTATTTTTATTTTTAATAATTAAATATTATAAATGTATTATGTTGACAGTTCTTTATGTCATGCGTGAAATAATCTTCGTTGGCAAAAGATTTTATTTCTTACTGCTAATAACATTTTCATTAGTGCTATTCGAAATATTCTACCACCAACCAATGTGTAAATATAGAACGGCATTCCATTGGTAAAAAAATTAAGAAGTACAGCGAGAGTGTAGACAAGATTGTCGATAGCAACTTGCAATTTGGATGTGGTTCTATTCATTGTTATCGTTGCGTACAGTTTTTGAATGCCCAATGGGAGACCAAATATAAAGAGAAGAACAACTTGTGCGAGAAGCATAAAAAGAAGATGAGAATCAATCTTGTTTCGTTGTTGTGACTGGTTTCCGTTTGTTAGCCATATACCATTTATAGTCGTTATATTTCTAGGTTGAACATGACTTCGCGAGTGACGTACATTCTTGATGGTCATTAAACCAAAGATAAGCATAAGCAGAATCGGAATCAGAGTGGTGAGAAATGTAAAAGATATGTCTGTGACAAAACGACATATCAATGTTATTCCATAGCATTTCAGAGGAGTATTAATCATATTTGGCTCATAACAATATAGAATATGAGAAAAGATAATCGTAGAAGCTATCAAAATGACAATTATACCTCGTTGTGCATTTTTCAATGTACTTATTTGTCGAAGACGAATATTACTGCTTGACAATAGCCATCGATCTATAGCTGCTAATAGTATAAGCCAAAATGCCATTGCTCTTGCCACGTTGAGAATAAAAGATCGAAACTTACAAAGAAATCTATCAGTATTTGTTAAATCGGCTGCCCAACCAGACAACATTCGTGAAGTAAGACCAGAAAGAATAGCAATAAAATTAGCAATAGACGAAGCCAGAAAGAGTATTGCACATGAATTTTTCCGAAAAGATCGTTGTGACAAAATAAGAATATTAAGAGTATTACCCAATGTACCAAATAGAAAAATAAAAATTGAAAAATAACGATAAATTTCAGTCGAAACATTATTAATGTATGCGATGAAATCAAGATCGAACGTTGACATTTTAGAATCTAATGGATCGCTGAAAAAATGAAGAAGAAAACTTGATAAGTCAATTGTGTGCTTCTTATTCTTCCGTTTCCAACTGTGTTAATGATTAGAAATGCTTAAAATAAACCAGAAGAATATATCCAAAAAAGTATGCGAAAAAGCAGTAAAGAAAGAGAGAGCATAGAAACGATATTTTAAATCTCTAAAAGTATCCATCCAGCTAAGATTGAATTAAGTATTTCAATGATTCAACTGTTGTAACTAAAAAACTTTTATTTATTGTCTGAGTCAATGTATAGGGATATCTTTTATATGTTTTACAAATTAATTTGTAATTAAAGAAACCTGCATACTGTGCAACAAAAAGACACAATCATTACTGGGAAACACTTCCTCCTTTCATCAATTTATAATGAAGAATCCTTGAGTGATCTTTGCTACACTTATTATGAAAAAATGTGCAAATGTACTGTCGAAGTCTAAAGATGGATTACTGCTATTAAAACAATCAGAACTGAATGTGTACAGGGCGAATTCACTGTCTTCACAAATCAAAAGGTTTCTACTACATAGGGATATGCTAGAACAAGCGGTCAGATGGATGGTAACACATGTAATGAAGAAACATTGTTATACGTTGTATTATTACAACATAATATTACGGAAAAATAATGCTTAATAAAATTAAAAAAAAGACGATTATTTATTCATAGAATCGTTTGTTTAATTTATATAGTTTATCGCACGGATTTATGTCGGTAATGCATAGATGAATTCTGTATCATTTAATTCATTAAATTATGTAGTGATTAAGTATAAAACAAAATTTTCTGTTTTCTATCATCTGACAGTTGAGAAAAGCTTATTTTATACCTTGTTAAAATGATTATAGAACATAAAATAAAATTTGTCAAAAAGCCACATAACAGCTATTCGTGCTATGTTTGAAAAAGTTCTTTTACTTGAGTCTGTGTGGAGGTATGTTCAGATTTCCAAAGAAGGGAATTACCCAAATTTCTGAAATTTCCATCAGCTAGATAACTGTATAGCAGTGCAAATCAAAAGTTTTTAGACATATTGGAAATTTCAGTAATTTTAGTAATTCCTGTCGTTTCAGAAATTTCTGTAAGTGTATAATTGCGAAAATTTCAGAAATTTCTGAAATTACATTATTTTAAGGAGTAACGTAAAATTCAGAACACAAATGCTTGACATCTCCGAAACTTCTGAAATTTCCTTTTTCAGAAGTCTGAACCCTGCTGATTTCAAATGATAAAACGGACATTAATTTTGATGTACAGCGAACATTTTGATGAAGCAGATGCAATGAATTTGATTTTTAATCAAATTCATAGAATTGCTTTAATGATAATATTCGTTTTCTTCAGATATAAAATCATTCTAATATTTTTCTCTAGAATCATATTTTTAGAATCGTTATTTTTATTAATTTATTTAACATGATTTAGATAAAAATCATTATTTATTTTATATTTCCTGGTGATGAATAGATACTTGCCATCATGTGAGAGATTCAATATTTTATATTCTGTAAAAATTATAGAAAAATTGTTTTTTTTTATCGTTTGTAAATATATTTTAGTGAAACAAAATCGTTCATAAATATTGAACAAAAAAAGGTTGACTTCTTCTTTCTCAATGAACTGGAACATGGATATCTATGATGGTCCGAAATTTTTTTTCCACTTTTTGCTTTTTACTAGAGCTACACACTATGGTAAACAATACTACAGTTCTTCCATAATGATGAGAGTGGCTTAATCTAGTACGAATCATATCGGAAACTTTTTGATTATTTAAAGTACATAGAAATGTACATTTTTGACTTAATGATGTTGGTGTGGATATTACTAAAAACAATAGCAACACCCATATCCGTATGCAGCAAACTCAAACCATTTAGATTTGGTGAACGTTGGTAATAAGTACGAGTTTGTGTTTGGGTTGACTTTGCTACTAAGTCTAATGGAATAAGTGAAAATTGAAACTTATATATTTTACGAAGGAAACTATAGTCAATGTCAGATGTACACTAAATTGGGTCTTGCAGCTACAGACTGACTTGCAAAAAGTACTCTTCCTTTCGGGACCAGGACTGCGAACTTGAAAATCTTCAGGATCGGGAGCAAAAAAAACTACTATTCTTCCATCAGTCTCGGTCCGATACATGCAATGATATTGATTCGACAAAATAAAACAACATAGAGCTGATCCTTTGAATTCACTTACCGTTTTCTGAAAGATAGAACTGGTCACGCTAACTCTAGGGAACAATGGTCTGAATCTCGTTATAGTTATTCGATCCTTGATATCGACGGTCATCCAACAAGAGAATTTGCGCTTTCTCTAAACATTACTGCTAAAATCTTTCCCGTTTGAACCTACTAATAAAATTTAGAGTCAGTGCTTACGGTGATTCTCGATTCTTATTCTCTTATGATTGAGTGTTTATCTCACAGATGGATAAAATCAGGCGAAACAGAACGAATACTTTCTTTTGTGAAAATCGAAGTTGACTTGCGAAAGTTATTCCTTTTTTAAGTCACTTCGCTAACGCTACTTTTCTTTTTACGATAACTCCTTTCAGCAAGAGATCTTTAGGGCGATTATTTCAATGTAAAATAGAATAACTTAAAATTAGCGGCAGTCAAGTTCATTTTCTAATATTATACGTATGTTTAATTTTTGCGAAGTCACGTCGTTAACAAATGATTTTGCTCATATTTTCTTTCATATAGTAACTTTTTTCAGGAGACAGAAGTTTATTTTCGAAAGAGAGAGGACAGAATGACTAAAGAAAGATAAAATAAACTCTAAGTCAATAAACTGTTGTGCACTCAAATACCGCATAAAAATACATCTAAGATCTGAATTCAGAATGTATATTTGACCTTATCGCTTATGTAACATGAAATTTCTATTAAAATAATAAACATAACATTTCGTTCATTGCTCTCTGCATTCTTCAACTTTGAAAGGAAAATTTTATCGATCAATAGAAGCGTACAGAGAAAAAATAAATCTTCGCAGAAATCAATTTATGTCGCAATTGTATTGTTCGTCTAAAGATCTTTGAATAGCAATGGCAAGCTATTCATCATCTGTCATATTTATCACATTTGGCTGTTGAAAGAGTTCTCTTAAGGTTAAATTTTGAACAGGAGCATTTCGACAAACATCAATAAGAAATTTCAATAAGTCTTTTTCTTCTTCATTCGTGCATTGTTGCATTTCGGGTCCATCCGAAAATAACATTTTGATAATTTTGAAAATCTTTCATATTACATTGTGCACCTTATTCCGATAGGAAAGTGTTAGATGAAATATTTTCATTCATAATTGTGAAAATAATACCAATACTGAATAAACCTTCTACAAAATCAAGAGTACTTTCTACATTTACAGTTTCATCTCGAACTGGTTCTGCAGAGAGTATATCTGTTTAAAATTTTTTCCAATTTTCATAATTTCCATCTAATCTACGTAGCGTATTGAGAATAGGCAATGTTTCACTCATATTAATTTCATCATTATCAATAATTATTTGTAATGATTCTAAACTAATCCATTGTCGTTTAAGTTGTTGATAATCACGAAGAGTACAAATAATATCTTTCACTTTCACTTGATTCAAAAAATTAGCAATATTCTCATGATATTTATTTCGATAGAATTGTTGATCCGTAGCAGAAAATATTTCTATCGTGTTATATTAGGAATAATATAGTGTGAACAATCTTGTTTCTCCAATTTTTTTTAAATTCGCTTTATTTAATGTAACACTCGGAAGTGCTTAC